TGTTATTACGAGTACAACACAAACGATGTGGATCGGCGAAATTGGCTTTGTTTACATTTTTGTGAGACGGGAGTTTTTTATTTGTATCACTAGATGCGACGAAGTTTCCATTACTAAACATTCGTTTTACTGCTAGAAATCGTTCTATTTCGACTTACCCGACTATCATTCATTGGAATGAAGTCTTTCTTTTGTATAATCTGCTTCCATTTCATCAGAAGCTTGGCAGACTCTTTTTTTTCCGTTTGGAGACCGGTGCATTTGGTAAGGTTGCCTCCCGGGAGGGGGTGGGTTACTCCCATTAAAGTGCTACATGTATATGTGCCGCCAAAAGGGGTCCCAAATTCACCACATCTGTCTGAAAAGGGGTATGTTATTTTATCCTGTCTGTATCTTTTTGTCATTATTTCTGTCTGAAAAGAGGGCCATATTTTCCAAAGACTGTCTCTAGAGCTTGAGTGATCCAACAATCAGGAAAATTAAGCTGATTTTTTCTTTCTGTAACTTCATTTCGGTTGTCAAATTATATTCGCGGGAGTCCATCTAGGTAAATAAAAATAGCTGACCACCCATTTCCCGGAACAAATAAACCTGAAACGGATATCGATCTTCTGATTTGCTAGTTACCATTTATGCGTACTGTCTGGAAAGGGGTGTCAAATATCCACAGTTTGTAAGGGGTAGGCGTTTGAAACAACCAGCTACACACCCCTGTCAGTATTTTTGCAAGTACCCCCGAGGATTGCCTACATTCACACTCATCATGTGTCTTTGGTGAATGGATTTCGCGCATAGTTTTTTATCGTTGTTCGTGCATCCTAGAAACTTACAGTTTTTCTGACCCTCCCATGATCATAAAAACATTGAAACTATAATACTAGTTGAAATTATGGTATAAAAATTTGATCAAAATAATATTACACTGACGAAAGATTTCCCCTCGATTATCGATACACGTTGCCCCCCGGTAATGGCGGCCGTGAGCGCGGCGCCTACGGCGAAGGAGTAATTCATCTGCTTCTCGGATTCGTCTATAACTATCTCTTTATTGTGTACGGGAATGCCGTATAAATATCTCTTCATCGTGTAAAGGAATGCCGTATAACTATCTTTCATATCGTGTACGAGAATGTCGCATAACTACCTTTTATCGTGTACGGGAATGCCGTATAACTACCTCTTTATTGTGTACGAGAATGTCGCATAACTACCTTTTATCGTGTACGGGAATGCCGTATAACTACCTCTTTATTGTGTATGGGAATGCAGTATAACTACCTCTTTATCGTGTAAGGGAATGACTTATAACTATTTCTTTATCATGCATGGGAATGCCGTATAACTATCTCTTATCATATGTTTCTAGACGGCCATTACACAGGAGATTCCATCCTTTGTCGAAATACAGTCGATTCACTTTCAGGGTGACTACACACTTTTGCGCTTGATCAGAAGTTCGTTGAACCCTTCAAAGTTGATAGAATATACTACTTACTCCAAATATTTGACAATTTGTTAATCAGAATTCATTGTTTATAATTTAATTCAGTATTTAACTTAAAAAAGCATTAATGTCGTTTCAAAATATCAATACTAGATTGTTGTCTTGATACACCTACACGTTCAGTGATAATGGTCGGTGAATACAACCTTCCAAACTAAATATGATGTGGTAGTTTACATTTTTAAACATTGTGCTCTACGTGTTTTCCTCTTTCCCACCCGAGCGTGGAATATGAGGTAGAAAATTATGTACACAAAGTATATACTCTTGTTGATCAGCGTCCATAAATAGTTGTGTGAATAAAAATGGAATAAATCATTGTCGAGTTAACATGTTTAGTAAAATAAATAACAGTAAAAATATTTTCCGACTTAGTATTGCAACATAGAAAGAGAGATAATACAAACATATAGTCTGCAATATTGGCAGAAAGGAAACAGATCTTTCCAAAATGGGCTGACAGCCGATTAACACGTTCACATTGGGTGACACGTTTGTACAAATTGTATCATTGATTTAGCCTTAGTTACAATAAAGTCACACTGTGTTCATGTTAAACTCAGTGTATTGGGTGATGTATTTTCATCGGTAAGAAAACATGCGTAATGTTGTTAGTAAAAAAGAATGGTTGATTGGATGTGTGTGTATGTCGAGGAGTAATGTTGGTAACAAACAGGCAATAATTATATATAATTTGTCTTTTATTATGATCCTTGTATTTAACATAGAATAGAATTGTTCTAGTCTCGCTATCCCACTACAATGGAATCTCTATCCTTCTACATACATACATCGTATTTCTCATACGTTTCAGATACAATGGTTTTAAACATTAGTTATGGAATAATGAACAGGACCTAGGCGGGAATATTCATGACACAACAGTCTGATATTTAAGCTAATATCGCCATCCGGGCTCTGTTTATGACGTATTATTTATCACCTCTACGAAGGCTTCACGTCTAACATTTAACTAAATTTGTCTAATTCTGTTGGTGATTTATCAAAGAAATGAAATCAAAGAAATATTGGATTCAGAAAATGGTCTAGACTGGATAATGTGCGAGGCGAACTTGTCATAGACCCTTCTCATCGAAGATGACACTATGGGGATTCATTATTGTTAACAAAAATGGGCAGTGGAAAGTTGTTTATTTAAATTATAATACCCCAAAATGTCGAATATCGACCATGTCATTATTTAACAGTACATTTGTAAAATAAAGTGAAATATAATCAATACCGATGAGAATGTACATAAAATTTACATGAAAATACTAAATACAAAAACAGACAATTCAGTTTAACCTGACTAAGCTAATAGCTATGACATCTTATTTAGTTTACTAGATGTTTGACCACACTGATAAAACTGACAATATTAATGCGACATGAATGTCAGGCTATATGTGTTTAATTTACAGCATTTATTAAAAATCTATTATCACGTGTTTAGCGTGAACACAATTCAATCAAACAAACGCATTGTCTATTGGTGGATAACACAAGGTGAAGTGTAAATAACATAAAACGTTATGAAACTTCAAAGGTATCACAATTCGTGTGCTTTGGAATGAATAATAAGACGAACTGATTTTAAGATTGACAATGACACATCATCAAATTATAAATTGAGTGAATGAAGCAAGTAGCCACGTTTACTTCTGCTCTACACTACTCCTTCATGTTTACACAAATAAACCAGATAGCAGCAGGAATACTCATTTCTTGTAAAACATGTGTTTCAAAATCGGCAACAATGCTGTGGATAAAAAGAAAGTAATTCAGTTCAGCGTCTGTCTAACCAGCAATAATCGATGTTATGCATTGCAGCATTCTCATTGTGACAGTCTTGTCAATAAAACACCACGTCATATACGCTTGGTTACACATGATCACGTATGATCTAGTTTTATATATCCAAGATGCATCCAGATATTACTTACTCATTATGATTAAGGTGTAGAATCATATGGGTCAACTCTTTGTTTCTTGCCACCGCCAGTTGATACGGATACTAATCACAAAACAAATCGTAAATATTATTTTTTTTGAAATATGTCAACAGGAATCCATAATATTCACTGGATTTGAATGATTTCAGTTTTTTCTGACAATACGTGTTTAATTACCTGGGGTTCTTCCGCGATGAAATCGTTCAATTAAAGTCACCAGATTCTGCTTTCCTACATAGGATAATAAATCCTCTAGGAATGATGTGTTTCTTGGAGATATTACTAGGCGCTTAGACAATTCATAAAATACATCAAATGCTCCATTTTTCTTCTCTAATATATCGTAGGGGATAACATCAATGCAACGGGATTTAATAGTCTTGAAATGGTCTGAAAGTAAAAAAATGTCAACAATTGCTTTCACGTCTGGCGAGATTCAGTCAAATTAGCTTACTACAAACCAGTACACTGCTTGTAATGACAAAACTATTACATTTAAATTGTCCATTAAGATTAAGATTAAGTAAAATTGTTTTCATTGTAGTTTTGTCTTTCATTGAATTTTAGCACGTTACGCCAATCCATACACTAGTGTTAGTAAAATCGAATACATTAGACACCAGAAACAATAACCCCTCGATAACATGCCTACGGACGTGTTCGCAAGTATTATAGACGAGTTCGAATGACTTCCTTATTAGGCAAATGTGCGTGTCATTTATGTTACATTTGAACACTTTCTTTTGTGTACAGAACATAAACGTTGACATAGCGCAAAGCCTTATTCATTTTTCGTTCATTATAATATGGTTAGTTTGAATTTAGCCATCAGAAAAAAGCAAGGTCTTATATGTGGCAGTAGAAGACCTGTGATTATACAGTTTTATTATGGCACAGTGACAAACTAACAATGTATGATTGGCTACAATCCCGAGCTATACCATCCCGTTTTCTGCCATGATAACGGTGTCTTTGTAATATTAATCGAGACGTACAAAAACATTGGTTTTGAAATAATGCATTTGTCAACGAATCAATCACACACCCGGGCAAACTTATTTAAATTCGTTCTTCTATTGATACATACCCATTTCCAGCTCAGAATGTATATCACAAAGTAATCTAATAAACCTTGACTCATCAATTTCAGCGTAATTCATTAGTTCTGAGAAAGATGAACTAGGACCAGGTTCATCTGAATTTGTCACTGGCACCAAAAAAAATGAAAAAATATGAAGTACAAATATAAATATAGAGAGAGAGACAATCAGCATATTGCAGTGATTCTTGCAAAATTATATTAGTATATTTTGATTCAAATGTTTATGATGTATTAACTGAAAAATTGCCACCAAACACTAATATACATACACTCCAGTCATATAATGAGACCTACCTGTGTCTAATGCTGGGAATGTTCTAACTTTCTCTGCCAATCCCCGCATCCCGGCGCTAGACAAGAGATCTTCCAGAAAAGCAGTGTCGTCAGTCTTGATGAATTGCCGGCTGTGTAATTCATAAAACAGGTCAAATCCACACTTTATTCTCTGCAATGTTTCATCCGGTATCCTTCCATGACAACACTGTTTTATTCTCACAAAGGCATCTGAAAAGATAATATAAACTGTGTTAGAAAAGGTTGATTTGCACAATGCAATGCTATGTACATATTAATATGATACATACTATTTTGAAAAGTTTGCATAAGAATTTGTGTATGTGTCTTAATTGTTAAGTTTAAACATGTACCTGAATCTAGCTGTGAATCCAGGTAACAGAATAAGTGGACGATCTCTTCAAATGTTCTTCTTGGTGACTGTCTTGCTGCAATTGCAGATAATGAGAGAACTTGTTATTAGTTCATCCAATAATACATATGTAAGTTTTTTTTTCACATGTATCATTCGTATACTAAGACATTGATCAGATTATTTAGTATTCAGACAGTCGCCATACATGTTTCATTATGTGAAAAGTTATTTTGCTTGATATGTTCAGTAATTACACAAAAGTCTGTCCTATAAGTGTACTTACATTCTTTATACCAGTAAGAAATTGCGGACACGTTTACCAGCATATTTTTCAGTTCACAATGTAATTGTTTAACACCTTGATCCAATACGGGGGTGATATCTGTACATCCATCATCAAAGTCATTAGATTCATGTAGCCATATACCATCCCTGTGGTCACCACAACCACACTTTATGCATATGTGATACGTCAAACCTGGTGTGTACATCCGAATTAACTCATTTAGGGAGGTTTCCACTTCTTGTCGTACCTTCTCATAAAGATGTTGAATTATTCGCTCGCCTAAAATATCCAATCGTAACATCTTTAATTCTATGTCAGCTCCCTTTCTACACAGAGTAAAGTGGTGGTCAATGGACTCGTTATGAATAAAACGAGCATGATCCTGGAATAGCATGGCTTCTGGATGTTTTTCTAAACAACGAACAATCAAACGGTAGTATAAACCTTCTGGTAAAAAATTACCTCGAAAATGGAAATATAACGGCTCACAAGACATGTAGCCTGTAGGGAACAGAAATTTTCTCGGTGGCTCGCTTTTCAGAAGGCATGGGAAGTAATATACATCAATTTCTAGAGAGCACTGACAAATAATATCAAACATTTCAAGAATTTTCAAGAGAATGTCTGTATCCTGCTCACGATCATGCAATTTGAGCCACTGTGAAACTAACTCCCTCTTCATCATTCCGTGGTTGTATAGTTCATCAAACATGTTCAGCAGTTCGATAGATAGCTCGGGATTAGTCTTGTATGAAACTGACTTTGTAGTTAATAAACTGAATAAGTTTATCAACCATCGTGGATCGATGATTACAGTATCTTTCAGTTCATCAACATCAGCAAAGTGAATGATTTCTCCAACATCATGGAAGTACTTCAATGCCTTTTCAATCTCCTCAGTGGACAGACCCCTTTCTTTGCCTAATCTGTGTACATCGGATAATTGTAATGTCTCCTTCTCCTCGGATCTAAGAATTAGCTCTAGTATTAGCCAATTGACAGGAATGTCACCGAGAAAGCAAAATTCCTTAGCTAGTTCCTGTATCCGTTTTCGGAGACTTTCTATCGATGGATCAGTCGTCTTATCGTTATGTCTTGACTTATTATCAAGAGCAAACATTGGAAAAGTAACGTGACTATTCCATGCTGATTGTGTATGTTGTCTGAGATACTTTCTCAATTCACATAGACGGCCTTGGCTCTCTTTTTCGACATCCTGAAATACAATATCCTTTTTAAAATAATGGAATCAATTCAAGACACAAATAACCACAACTTTAGTTTGACGGTTAACTCCCCCTACAAATAACGTCATGGAAATAATCTGATATATATGTATACGCTAGTATTCAATAACACTCTTTGAATAACATCACTGTTTTACATATGATATTATTATTTGGGGATCGGAAGGATATACTCACCCCTTCAAGTAAATCTTTCTTTGTACCTGCAATTATAACTGGGGGTGCAACAATGGTGTGCTCCTCACTTTCATCTTGCCCATGTGCTTTTATAACAAAATCCCTCATTGTATGGGTATGGATTGCATTTATCCAGAAATTTGCATTGTCTAAATAAAATACCGATGTGATGTGGTTTATTAGTCTTTAATTTTAATATTTGAATAAATTGTACTTACATATACATCAAATACAAACAAAAGATGTCATTTTTAGACAGAAATGCCAACCATGCCAAACTTAAAAATGATCATACCTTTCAATGGCATATCTTTCCAATATCTTGCTGTCTGATTTTGAGGCGGCAGTTCTAAAATATCGTCAAGTCCTTTTGTAAGGTCAGTCACAAAGATGTAAATTACCCTATATGCAAAAAAAGCCTAGAAAGAATAAAAAGTGTTAACATTTTGGCCAATTGCAACGTCAATAGCAAATCGACTTTATGTACCCCAAATTAAATCAAATTACACTCATACTGATGTTTGGTCTACATTAATCATGTATTGTATATTCAAATAATTCATTGTTAAGGACATAGTCTCGGTTATAATTAGGGTAAATGTTATTCATGCCAAAAATAAAGTAATCTGCACCAAAAGCATAGTTAATAATTTACAGTGAATAATTGGCTTGTCTAGTATCAACAGAGTATGTTAAATGACTTTTCCAAAATTCTAATATACGACCAGAAATAAACACTATAGGCTATTCATGCCGGTTTACGTACAGAGATACAAAACATGAAACGAATCATCATGGATGTATCTCAACATGTATGTTTCTGTCTGATTACGGAACAAATGAACATGACATGATGTATAATGAATATATAAAATTTGATCATAATCAATCAAAGCATGACAGAGATTTGGGACTAGATCTGCATTCATTAAAACAAAATGGCCACCACTCGGTCATTTTAAATTGAATGGGGAAAATAAAATGATGTACATCAAGGTACCATAATATCTAACGTATGTACCAAGTTTGAACAACATTGACCCATAAACACCAAGATCAAGTTCTCGAATGCTTGAAATGGTTGATTTTTGATGATTTTCAGCACAAAACGGGCTGCCATTTGGCCATTTTGAATCAGATAGATAAACCAATATATCCATGTTATGATGTATAATGAATAGAAAAAAATTTAAAATAATCAGTCAAAGCATGGCAGAAAAATGGCACTAGAATTGCATTCATTAAAACAAAATGGCCACCAGTCGGCCATATTAAAATGGATCAGAAAAGTAAAATGATGTGCCTTAAGGTCCCATAATGTCCAACGTATGTACCAACAAAATCCATCCATAAATGCTTGATTTTGATAATTTTTTAAGCATAAAAATGGCCACTATTCATCTTGAATCAGATCGTGAAACAAATTGCTGTGCATATGTATAATATTATGTATGTGTGAAGTTTGATTGTGATTGGTCCAGACATGTCAGATAGAAAATACAGGTCTGGAGGCACACACAGACGCACGGACGCACACAGGTCAAAACATAAGTCCCCGTTTTCGGACTGTGTCCAAACGGCGACTAAAAATAAGAATACACGTTTTTATCTATGAATTTAAACAGCTTTCATATCAATGACTAAGAGCACTAGAGGTTGACGTATATTTACTCCTCGTCGATTTCATTGACATGTATGGATTAAAGCTAAGTCTGGTTGGCACAGTATATTGGCCTGATGTAGGGGTTTCCCTTCTTTTGGTGCTTTGACATCAAAGTCACAATGTGCTACAGTACGTGAAAACCATTGTTTGTAATTTGTGGGTGTGTGGGTATGATTCTACGTTACTATGTGTAGTTATTCAGAAAAGTGTACACGCCCATTTGCATTTCGATGAAATAATTCTTACTGTTTGGAATGGTGATTTATACTGTTCTGGTGGCAGTGATCTAAGGTCATGCCACTGTTTTTACGTTGTACTAACCAAAACAATATTCTAAAATTTAGAATTGCTGACCGCACTTCAAAAACTACAGCGAAGTGGCTAACAGGCAGAAGGTTTTAGTAAATTACACACGATTCACTTTCATCCCAAGCTGAGAAAATGTAAATGCAAAATCTAAATAACATTATAGTGTGTGTATACTTGTACCCATTCGCATATAGACACGTGCTCTGATATGTATCATCAAGCACAGGCACAGGCACGGCATGGGTACAATGACAACTTTATTTTAGTACTGACGCTTTGAAATATAATTCTTCCAAATAATCAAACCACATCATAAAATTGTTCACATTTCTCTATCCTACGAGTCAGCATTATTGATTCTTTCGTAGAAGTATCTCTATCATTGACAAGACATGTGCAATCATTTACAGACAGCACAATATCAATGTGTCCCACTGCTAGTAAAGGGACAGAAAATATTCTATTGAATCAGTGACTTTAATTCTCCTTTTCCAACAAGAGATCATACCACAACAAAATGATTTGTCTCAGCAACCCAATGCTGCTGAGAAAATGCCAGTAACATACCGACAGACAACAGAACGAAGCCCAAATTACAAGTCCGCTTTTTCTGTCTGTGCCTGAAGAGGGGTTAAAAATGGTAAGTATAATACTAATCATCGTTATTTACATAAACATGGAGCTCACTGTGTGTGAGTTAGCAACAGGTATATCCACGGTATATGATCATGCATACTTATCACTACTTAGCAACAATTGTGTTGTAGATTGGTATGTACGTGCGTTGCTGTGTTGCCCTGCTCCTTTGATGTGTACATCTGTCAATGAAAACTAAGTTGGTGCACAGTCACATATTTAACAGTTCGTCTATAACATGAACCATTGACTAGCTGCAATTTTGAAAGAGTACGAGTTCAAAAAGTGAAATAAATATACACGTACCGGATAAATAATATCACAATGTCCACCAACATCCCAAAGTGAAAAATAAAAATCAATTGAATCTGTGTCTACTGCTTTCTTTAATCTTCGTTCAATGCGTTTAAGTGATTCAGACTCGTTTTGTCCAGGTTTTTTTAACAATTTTACCAAGTCTTTATTTGTAATACCAATTGGTTCAAAGTTTCTGTCTCGTTTACTCTGACCAGTGTTTCGTGTTTCTTCCTTACCTGCAAAACAAGATTAACTTATGACATATTTGATATGTTTGACATGTACAGCTTACATACTAGTTCGGTTATGAACTTATTTTCAGGGAAGTGTAAGTTTGAAAGATGTCAAACAATTAAAAAAGTGCTTTCATGCTTTGTACTGAATTTATTTATAAAGTATTTATTCATTGAGTGATTGTTTTGACTAAATCACAACTGCTGTGCAATACATATATGCAAAGCACAATTTTATTATTTTGTAGGGTACAATTATCAAAGGGTCAAATTATTGTCTTTTAGAAACTGATATGGAAAAATAAAGTTCCACTCCCATCAAAGTATGCATTATTAGTCCCTGTCCATCAGTCTGTCCAGATTAAATCTGTTCGTTCTTTACATGTGCCTAGTACTGTATTTGCGGCATATGCAAATGCAGTGTTTTACTGTTAGTTTTTAAGATAGTTGACTGCCAGCCATTTTTTCCAAATGTGGTATCTAATGCAGGCTTCGTCAGTTTTTGTTCAAATTTGGTACAAATATTTTACATGTTAGAATACATGTCTATGACGATTCGTTTCACAATAAAAAGATGGCCTACTGGTAGCAATTTTTTTCTGAATTTTATACATGCTTTGTCAGTTTTTGTTCAAATTTGATGCAAACATTATACATGTTGAGATACTTGTCCATGATGATTTGTTTCATGTTCTAATAAAAAATATTATCTTGTTTCTTCAAATTGTATCGTTGATACAGATTTTTCTTTTCAAATTATACATGTTAGGATACATGTCCATGACAGTTATAATTTCACAATTGGATCAAAGGTGGTTGACTGCAATACTACTATATCTTTGTACATGAACTTGGACAAAGAAAATTCTGTTTGAATACAAAAAAAATGCATTAATAGCATATCCTGTTTAGGTTCTGACTATATTTTTCGATTTTATAAGATTAATTAATACATATAATTTCTGTTGATACTGGACCAGCCAATTATTCACTCTCAATTACTAACTTTGCTTTTGGTTCATATTACTGTATTTTTGCCATGAATAACATTCCCCCTAATTCCAATTGGGACTATGTAATTAACAATGACTTGTTTTAAACAACTTGTTTGAAATACATTTATTCATCAAACATGCAAAAGAAAGAATTTTGAGATTTATCTCATTTATAAGGTAATAATAACGTAAGTAGATCAGGAAAAAATTTAATATTTTGAGTACGCAATGAAAATGAAATATGCTAGACGGATCTATTACACCAGGCATGACTCCTAGAAAATGTGTATGTGTAGTCTATCTATTTTGTTATATATGTTAGCATATTGAGCAATATAACAAATGCTGTGTACTGGTGGACTGACGGATACAAGCTAATGCGTTTCTACAGACTTTATATAACCTTCCAAGAACACGACTTCAGACTAAACATTAAAATCTCGCTCAGAAACTGGTATTTAGTGTGCGTTCCACCTAATGCTTCATCGTCACCCATGTACAGAAATAGGCAACATACACATGTAATTTCTACTAAAATCAGTGTACAAAAATAGGGTACATCTACCAAGATGTATTCAGGAAGTAAAATGAAGATGTTACCCTGCCATATTCGACATTCTACATTCGCAAAGCAATATTAGGATGATCAAATTTCTTGTGAATATGTTTGAAATTGTTTGGGAAAACAGATGAATGGAATCATTTTCGCAAACACATCTTGTTTATCATGTGATTCAGCAGCAATATTCAAAACAAGTCTTGATGGTTTAACATCTCGTAATGTTTGAGACCAACGTAATCTTTTGTATAAGGCTACATTATGTATGGTAGTTGTAGTGTGTCGCCTCTAACCGATTTGCTCAACAAAGATATGAAATTGAGTGGCAAATTGTGTTATTATGTAATGGTGAATACAAGTTGAAAATTTGTATTAATACAGTACCCATTGGTCCAGATTCCTGTTTTGGTGTGCTTTGATCACTTAGAGTAGGTCCATAACGAGCATGTCGTCGTTCTGCATCTTGTCGTACAACTTCTGAAGCAAGGACTCTCTCAATTAAATCACGTGTTTCCTCAGGATTGCGAGCATGGAAGTATTCTTCATTGCCTGCAAAGTATGTATGAATGTATGTGTTAGGTAGCTTTAATTGGTTTCTGGATAACCTGTGCCGAGCTTCTCAATCTGAAATTTTATAGCCAAATAGGTTCTAGAAGTTTAATGCAATAGATTCCACGATTTGGGTGCCATCTACGATTGAATACTAACCGAAAAACCTGAAATTGTGAGCAGAAATAACTATTTACCTATGTTGAATTTAAAACAAACCTTGAAGGCTTCATGTGCTCTCACTTTGTGTTAATACAGGATTAGCAAAATAGTGAATAACATTTGATCTTGATTGTGTGATCATTAACTTTAATTTTAAGGGTTCATTTCGTTTGGTGCCCATATATATTTTAGGCTGTGTTGTTTGCCCAGAGCGGTATAGCTACATTTATGCCTGAATTTATGAATTATGCCTTCTTCTTAATCATTGAACTCTTCATATCAACCTCACAGAAGGCTTTTTTCAGAAAAAAACAACATGTTACATAGAAATATGTCCATATCAATCTAGTTATTACTTTGTCATATTTTGTCAATTACAAGTAATTAAATGAAACATCAATCCAAACAAC